AAAAAAATTATAAAATATTTTTATATTTTAAAAAAATAGATCAGATATAAATTTATAAAATTTAAGCAGGCAAATTTTCTGCTAAAACTGGACAGTTTAAGGGATACTACAATCTCGTTAGCAGTAGCCAACCAAAAAAAAGAGATTGATAATATGACTGAGTCAGAGTGTATTCACTTCCTAGCTTTTGCTATTAAAAATGGTTTGTATGAAAATATTAGAGGTAAAGTTTCAACCTATGCTTTAAAAAAAATAAATGAGCAATATCGAAGGGTAAAATGCATTACTCCACAAGAACACCTGCCGCCATGTAGTGGATCTTTCTCAAAAACAATGGGGCTGCCTTGTGTCTATATTATACAACACTTCGGGGAGAATCAGAGTCTAATGCTTGATGATGTCCATGAGCATTAGTAGATTTCTGAAAACCTACCAGCTCCTGAAATTAATGAAGATGTTTATCATCGTGAAGACCCATTTCAATCTCTCTTACAAGATTTACAATAAAGGTATCAGGAATAGTCGGCATTTCAACAATCAACAGCATGTGAGTCATTAAAGGATATGATTGATACCCAATCAGTAACTTTGTGCAACCTGTACCAAAGGACATCCTCCTGGTGCTTCTAATCGACAACAAACCAACTCAACTAGGAGAAATCCCTCCAGTTTTGAGTTAGCAGAACATAAAGTAAAGCATTGTGCTATTTGTTGGCAATCTGGGCACAATGCTCGTACCTGCTTAAATAGAAATAACTCTTTATAAAACTTCTTTCTTTGATGGATTAACCATACCATATAAATAGTAAAGAAATTCTTACCATCAAATATTACTATTACATAGAAGTTTTTTTTCTTTTAAAATAATTGTTTTTTAGCTTTATTTCTCTTATAAATTTTTTAAAAAACAAAAATGATCTTATTATATAATAAAACAGTATACTTATAAGAAAGCTTTGAAATAGATTTTAATCTATCACACCTTTTTTAATAGTAGCCAATTTTTTGGCTATAATAAATGTTGAATACATCTTTTCATGACCGACTATATTATTAAATAATTTAACAGAGTTTATTTTATAATTTCGAATGTTAGCTTTCTTGGGCAAAAAAATAAAACAAAATAAACTTATGTAATTAAAATTACTCGTGCCAACAAAATAGAACATACTGTAAAACACCTGTAGTATTCTAAGTATTCTCAAATCAAGCATTTACAAAAAATACTGTAATAGCAAGTCAATTAGCGATGTTACTTGAATGTCTACATAGTATTAAGCACCTGATTAAGTGGCTTATTAACCAATCACAAATAAGAATTTCACGTGATCACGTGATAATCGGAAAGTTTCGTTACGAGAGGGTACAAATATTAAATGTGGGGTACGAAAATTGGCCCCCAAATTTATATATTGAATTAAATTATATAGAGTAAAATTTTAAAAATCATAATATCTATTATAATTTTACTAGTAAAATTATAAAAAATATTAAAATCCACAAAATTGTACCAATAAAACCTACCTTTA